TCTCTCCCTCTCTCTCTCTCCCTCTCTCTCTCTCTCTCTCTTTCTCTTTCCCCTGCGCTTGCTCTCTCTCTTAAAAAAAAAAAAAAGGAGCCTAAGACGTTTCAAGGATTTGGTGTATCCACCAGGGAGGCACATAGACAAGAGAACTGAACTATAGCCAGACCATGGCCTGCTGGGCTCTGAGTGCCCTCAGCAGATGGCTCCACATCTCAGGGTCTCGGTTTCCTGTCTGTAGTGTTGGGAGGACAATGTTTTCATCCCCTCCCATGGTGCTTGTGAGAATTCAGTGAAATAGGGGGTGCCTGGATCGACTTTGGCACAAGTCACAATCTCATGGTTCATGGGTTCGAGGCCCTTGTTGGGCTGTGTGCTGACAGCTGGGAGTCTGGAGCCTGCTTTGGATTCTGTGTCTCCCTCTCTCTCTGCCCCTCCCCCACTCACGCTCTGTCTCTCTCTTGCAAAGATAAATAAACATTTTTTAAAAAAGAAAAAAGAATGCAGTGAAATGAGTCCAGAACAGTGCCTGGCATAGGTGAGCATCAGATGGTGGAGGGAAATCTGGTAGAAAGAAGTGGGAAAAATCAGGGTTGAGGATGCTTTCCCAGCACTGTGGCAAAAGTGGCACTGTTTGAGACAGCCACTGAGCTGCAGTGACTCTGGGATTGCAGTGTCATGGTTAGATCTGTCTAAAGATCTTTTTTAACACCCTTGAACATGACTTCCTGTTTTGGAAAAAAGACTGGTTGCTTACCAGTCTGATACTACAGTAACTACTATCGGGTTTCTCCTAGAATTTGAGTTTTACAAAATCTTAATTAAAATGGTAATGAGTTTATAAGTAGCATGACTGTGAAAACCACCGTTGTAAGAAATGTGACTAGATTTTTCTTCTTATTCACAGAGAACAGTATTATCTATTACTATTTTTATTATTATTATTATTTTAATTTGAGAGAGAGAGAGAGAGAGAGATCATGCAAGTGCGAGTGGGGGAAAGGGGCAGAGGGAGAGAGAGAACCTTAAGCAGACTGTTAGCACGGAGCCCAGCGGAGGGCTCAATCCCACCACCTGGGATCATGACCTGAGCCAAAATCAAGAGTTAGACAAGTTGGACGCTCAACTACCTGAGCCACCCAAGCGCCTGGAGAATAGTATTATTAAGCACATAATTTCTCATCTCCAAAGAAACACATCATCTTATACTGAATGTCCAGAAGTTTAAAAACTTATTCCAGGGGCACCTGGGTGGCTCAGTCGCTTAAGCATCCGACTTCAGCTCAGGTCATGATCTCCCGGTTTGTGAGTTCGAGCCCTGCGTCCGGCTCTGTGCTGTGCTGACAGCTCAGAGCCTGGAGCCTGCTTCGGATTCTGTGTCTCCTCTCTCTGCCCCTCCCATGCTGATGCTCTGTCTCTCTCTGTCTCTCAATAATAAATAAATGTTAAATAAATAAATAAAAACTTATTCCAACATTTGTATTCAATAATATCTATGATTTAATAACTGATGGTATTTTTTAAAATTTTTTTAATGTTTATTTATTTTTGAGAGAGAGAGAGAGAGAGAAAGAGAGAGAGCCTGAGCGGGGGGAGGAGCAGAGAGAGAGGGAGACACAGGATCCAAAGCAGGCCCCAGGCTCTGAGCTGTCAGCACAGAGCCTGACACGGGGCTAGGACTTGTGAACCATGAGATCATGACCTGAGCTGAAGTCAGACACTTAACCAACTGAGCTACCCAGGTGCCCCTGCCAGTATTTTTTAAAACATACCAATGGGGCCAATATAATCATTAAACATGTATGGTACTTTTCTCACTATAAATGTTTTTAGGGAAAGAAAACCCATATGAATCAATGTAGAGTCTAATTTATAGATTTCTTTTTAATTAATTAATTTTTAAATATAATTTATTGTCAAATTGGCTTCCATACAACACCCAGTGCTCATCCCAACAAGTGCCCTCCTCAGTGCCCATCACCCACTTTCCCCCTGACCCGTACCCTCATCAACCCTCAGTTTGTCCTCTGTATTTAAGAGTCTCTTGTGGTTTGCCTCCCTCCCTCTCTGTTTGTAACTATTATTTCTCCCCTCTCCTTCCCCTATGGTCTTCTGTTAAGTTTCTCAAGTTCCACATATGAGTGAAAAAACATATCTGTCTTTCTCTGACTGACTTATTTCACTCAGCATAACACTCTCCAGTTCCATCCACATTGCTGCAAATGGCAGGATTTCATTCTTTCTCATTTCCAAGTAGTATTCCATTGTATATGTAAACCACATCTTCTTTATCCGTTGATGGACATTATCAGCTGATGGACATTTAGGCTCTTTCCATAATTTGGCTATTGTTGAAAGCACTGCCAAAAACAGACCTACCCTATGACCCAGCAATAGCACTGCTAGGAATTTACCCAAGGGATACAGGAGTGCTAATTTATAGATTTCAAAGTAAATGTAATCTAATGAAGTCCAGAGTTGGACTCACAATGTTTAAGTAAATTTGAGGGCATCCTATTTATTTAACAGAGGATTTATCTGTAGTTAGCTTGAATTATTTCCATATGGTTAAAAAGTCTTCAAAATTTATTTTCTTAGGCAGATTCAGCATGTTTCACAAAACCTTTATTGTCCTTCTAGTGTATTCCTACTGTATTCATGGTAACACTGTTCCTTTACACGGTCCAAACCAGAGTGGTTCTGAATAATGTGGTTTTACCATAAATCAATTGTGGAAATCTAGTGCGATTTCAGTGATCAGCCTGTTTTTGAGATGAAACATATTGTTTAACTTGTGTTCTTATCAGGAACAAATGTGCAACTTCCTCCTCCCCTGATTTTAGAGATTTCAAGGGGTTCATTCTGTCAGGGTTCATGTGTCAGGCCTCTTTTATGAGAGCTTTTCTGGGAGAGCCTGCAGGCCCTAAACTCAGGACTAAGAGTGAGACTTATTTTATTAAAATATTTTTTCATTTCAGTATAGTTGACACATTAGTTTCCGGTACACGTCATAGTGCAAGCGTGGGGGGGGGTCCTCAAAAAATTAAACATGGAGATATC